GTGTCATCATTGTTGAAACTGCTACCTGGTGTCCATTCAGCCTGACACAGCCTGCTTCCTATTGGATGTGCTCAGAATGGGTTAGCATATCCTCTGTCCCAAACCTTGTTTCTCATCACCTCCTATGCCCAGGCACCAGGACTGTCCTGTGTTGGCTTGTACCAGGAAGATGGGCTTCTGAAGTTGCTGCTGTTTTGTGCTCTCCTTTTGCTGGCTTTAACCAGCCATAAGGAGACAAGGAAGTCAAATACAAACCTTCTTTTTTTATAAGTCATACCATCAAAATGGCAGACTTTTTCACAATGGATAAGCTCCCTTCCCTGTCCCTTTATATCTGTACACCTGTTCAAAGTCTCTTCTACATCATCCCATCCTCCAGGGACTTGACTCCATGTCATTGTGGCTAATGCTTTATTTTCTTGGTTCTTACTCTGTCCTACCATTTACTGTTGACTCTCCTTTCAAGTGTATGTGGGGTGTTTCCAGGAAAACTTGTCCCTAGGATTCTTGCTCTGTATAGTTTCTGTGTATTTTTTAAATATATGGCACACTGCCAAGGGTAATGATACTCTCTTAATAAGTTAATTTTTTTTTTTTTTTTTTTTTTGGTGGGACTGGGGTTTGAACCAGGACTTCTTGCCTGCAGAGCTGGTGCTCTAGTGCTTATGCTACACCTTCAGTCCATTAATCAATTGTTTAATGAACTGTTTAGATTTAGTCCTTTAATACAGTTGAGAAGAACTGCTTGATTTATGATAAAAAGTCCAGCATTTTAGGGTTGTATTTCTTGTAGCATTATATATAGAAAAGTCTTACTCTGGTAGTTAAGACATGACGAAATCAAAGCATTTTCTATTAACAGAACTCATGGCTGATTTTGACAATACATTTTATTAAAATAGTCATTGATGGTGAGAATTAAGTTTCTTGCTGATTTAAACTGGGGTGGAATTAACACAACATCTTGATTAAATTGATAAATCCCACCAAAGCTATAAAGGGTGAGAAGAAGCCATCACTGTCTGTTGTTTTAAGCATAATGTATTTAAACAATTGTCCCTGTTTATTGAAAGCAAGCATTATAGCTGGTATAGGAACACTCAAGATGTTTCTTCTGTTTGTTGAAATGACTGTTTTAATGCTGCACCTACCCTTTTGGTGCCATAGCAGTCAGATAACTAGGTTCATATTGAATTGTAGCTAGAAATAGGGTAAATTTGGTTTTTGTATCTTTGGTACTTAAAACTCTGCCTCCCTACAGCTGGTTGAATAATTAATAATACATTTCACTAATTTTCTTTTGCTAATCACTCTTGGAGAATATTTGTAACTCACACAAATTATCTATTTTTATACGGTAAGTACACTGTGTCCATTTAAGTCACACAGGCCGTTGTGAGGGAGGGGCTGTGTGCGTTTTTTAAAATATTCCACTCTAATTGGTGCATCATGTACCAGTCCAGCAGTGAGTCACTCTAATCAAAATCTGTGAAGGCTGGAATAAAGCCAGTGTTATTTGAACCTTCTTTAAAGGACACCTTGGCCAGCCCCAAATGAAAGCTTGTCACAGTCTCCTTCTTGGTGAGCAATAATGAGTCTCAGACAGTGTTTGGCAGGAGGTATTTGTTATGGAGATTGTGACCACAATTCCCCCACTGAGCTGGGATGGCAGCTACCCCAGAACACCATGGCAGACCTCAGAGCCGCCCCTGGCCTTGGCCCTTGCTCCTGGAAATCTGGCTAGGGTATTGGACTTTCTGTGGCAGCCCCTGAATGAAGTATTGTTGCATTGGTTTTTAGCTCCAAGCTTGGGGGAAAAAAACCAAAAAACAACTCTGATGTTGGTTCCTCAAATGGAAAATGTGAATGAAACAACTGACTCTTGCCCAAAGCGTGGTCTGCTAAAAATAGAACGCTAGTCTGGAACCCTGATCTGCACACATTCATGCATGTACATGGTACATGCATGCATGTATGCATACTTGCACATGCATGGCTTTCCAGGTCTTTGTTTTCCCTTAATATCAACTGATATTTGGACCTTAGCCCAAGAAGGAAGTAAACACTTTCTCTTCTATGACATTTGACTGTTAAGAAAACCAAGAACAGATAACTAGCCTTTTATGTTGACTCCTCATCTCACTTGCTAATAGACTTTCCTTTTATCAGCAACTGTGGTGAAGTGGGCCCGTTTGTGACAGCCAGAATTGTGAGTGTGCTACTGATTTCCCCTCAGTGGGCCAAGTAGTAATTACAAGCCATTCGATCCAAGAGCATCTGCTGCAAGAAAACGGGGAGTTTCCATTTTCTTTCTGTGTGGCATCCTGAGCAGCAGTAATTTGACATGTGGCTTTGGGGCCGTTAATGTAGTAATAATAATAAATGGATCTGTAGAAGTCTCCCCACAAGGAGAGCTGGTATGATTGCAAATGTTAGGTCAGTGTGTTGTGACAGTGGCTGGAGCTCCTGTGTGCTCCCATTTCCTGGATATCCAGCAGCAGCTGGACTGCAAGGTGGCCTGGCATCAGCAGCCTTGTGGTCCCCTAAGGTTTTGGAACCAGCAGTGGCTGTTGTGCAGTTCTTGACAATGGCGGTCACTGAGCTGTGGTGATTATGCCTGTGCTGTGCTGTGCCACCATCCAGGCAGAGCTTAATTCTTTCCTTCGAGCGTTTTTAATCTCTTTTAATGTTGAAGAAAGGGAAGGGTTGAGACAGTAGGTATCCAGGCCATCCAAACTTAGCAAGGCTGGGATTTGACCCATGCTGTCTGTCTTTATTTTTCTTGTGGTATGGTGTTTGAACTCATGGACTCCTGCTTGCTGGGCAGATGCTCTACCACTTGAGCCAGATCCCCCACTCTTAGCCCCCAGGCTGTCTTTCTGAGGTTATATTTTTGCTGCCTCTGTTTCTGTTCTCTAGGAACTCGAAACCTTGCACAGACAGTTGGAAACTTTTTTTCGGCTCAGGAGGAGCAGGTCAGGGGTTTGTTTCATTTAGTGCTATGTAATGCAGTCTGTCTATGAGAGATGGACACAAGGGATAGGAAAGAGAGGAAAGCCAAGATATGGCTGTGGATTTGTATTTCTCATTTCTCTCATCCACCTGTCCACCCTCTGTCTTTTGTGTTCTGTTTTATTCCCAGAGTGCAGAATTAAACATTGCTCTGCAGCAGTGACTGAGGCTGTGGCTTCATTTGGCCCTCCCCTGTGTGGTTTCTTGCTCCACAGAGACCTCTGCTGGAATTTCAGTTTGATTCTCAACTTGCATAGTTTAATAGGTGGGGCCTGTACCTTTAAGTTAGCACCTGTTGTTGCCCAGCACCTGATTCAAATCACTGCCCAGATGAAAGAATTACCTGGGAGAATGAGCCAGAGAAAGCAGGTGATCATGGAGGCAGGACCCTTCAGGAAAGAGCAGTGACCAGGCTGGTTTCTGGCATCCTTGGCTCCAGGCATCTGCTCCTTTGTCTCTTCTATTCTCGTTGGCACAAGAGAGGACATTCATTCTGGCTGTGATCATCCTTCCAGGAAAATGTGCTGACAGTGACAGATCCATGACAGATCCAGAAATGTCACTTCAAAGTTGAGTACCACATTTTCAAAACAGATGACACAAACCTGTTCTGTTGAATTTCTTTATTATATCTCCTCTGGACTTTAAATCTTATAGAGGAGGACTATTTTGCATTTCAAAAGCCATGGAATTAAAAATAAAATTACCCATCACTGATAACTGTAGTTCTGAATACTGCACCATTAATGTGAATATCGAATCTGTGTGACATTTTCTGGTGTATACGGCACTACCACGTAGATGACCTCCTTTGCTCACAAAAGCTTGTTAATTAATAAACTTAAATAATGATAAGGTCCTTTTTTTTTGGTTACAGAATAGGAGCTGAGGCTTAGCAAGGTAGATATTTCTTCCTAGGCCATTCTTTGCTGGTTGTTTTGACTTCAAATCTCCAAAAAAATTTTTTTTTATACTCACCATGCTAATGCAAGGACCTAACTAGAGGAAACTGTTTCTGAGTTTCTTAATAAATAGTAACTATTTTGTTTTAAACTACTGAAGTATTTATAAACATGAAGTTATCGTATGGCTGTGACAGTGAAATTTGGGAAACTAAGCTATTTTGCCTCCTGAAGCTATGTTTCAGAATAATTTCCTAAGAGTCACTGCATGTGAAGTCACTGAAAAACAGAGAAAAGATTTCCCCTAGGCTAGGGGTTATCTTTTTAAAAGCAAATACAAATAAGAGAAAGGAGAATTGTGGTTGGAGTGCTGACAGGATACAGACAGTGTGGTCAGTGACTATGGATAAGAATGTCTAGGGAAATCAGAAAAGGATTATAGCTTAGATGCATATTCCACAGTGGTCCTTTTATTTTTGGTGGCACTTTGGTTTGAACTCAGGGCCTTATGCTTGCTAGGCAGGTGCACTCTGCCAGCCCTTTTTTTGTGATGAGCTTTTTCGAGATAGGGTCTTGCAGACAATTTGCCCAGGGATGGCTTCGAACCATGATCCTCCTGATCTCTGCCTCCTGAGTAGCTAGGATTACAGGTGTGAGCAATGATCATGGCTTAAGACCCTCCCGCTACCCCTTTGTTGGGCAGTACTGGGGTTTGAACTCAGGGCCTCACGCTTGCTAGGCAGGTACTCACTTGAGCCACTCTACCAGCCCTTTTCAACCATAATTCTTGACCAGGTTACAAAGCACCCTCCTGTCCCTTGAACTGGGTGGCTCTGGCTTGGTCTAAGTGGTGCCTTGGATGGTGGAAAGAGCACACATGGTGGAGGGGTCAGCTGACTGCATTCATTCTCCTTGACTTTCTGCTCCATCTGTGTAGAACAAGTGAGGAAACAGGCCCATCTGCCCCACTGGACAGTGGTGTGAGGAAAATAACTACTACAGAAATTAAGGGGTCATTTTTTCTTATTATTTCTTCTTATTTGTTTATCCAATATGTCTGCATTTTCTTCTGGCATCTAAATGCAGGTCGATGAACTTCTGCATCTCTATGGGTCAGCAGTGGACAGTGCTCCCCGACACAACATGTGGGACATCCAGACTTACATTCACTTTCAAGATAATCAGGGAGTCACTGTCACGATCAAGCCAGAGCACAAAGTGGAGGACATTTTGACTTTGGCATGCAAGGTAATGGCTTCTGCAGCAGAAATACAGTTCTGAACAGACATGATCATCAGTGTTGCTCCTATGCTTTCTAATTCTGTGTGGTGTGCAAGACCTCACTTTCTACACTAGGGAACATATTAGCATATTTGTTAATTAACATATTTATTAATTTGCATTCTGCCGTGGATCCCTTTAGGAGAATGAGTTGTTAGGTTGTGATCCTTTGTCTCCTGGAAGAACCTGAATCTGTCCACTTAAGTTCTAAGTACTTTTATATCTAGAGTGATCATGGTGCAGGTGCCCTTTGAGTCAGTGTATATAAACTTGGAAGTGCTTTGATATAACCCTACATTGTTTCACCAGATTACATAAGTAACTTGATCCCATTCACAGTTGCTTCATGGAGGTTAGTATAAGGTAATGTTTTATTTATTATTCAAACTGGACTTCATTTCCAGTCTGAAGTAGAAATATAAGTTTTTTATTTTTTAAGTTTTAGCAAGGATTTATTTTAGTGTAACAGGATGAAGTAGGGAGAAAAGGAAAAACATTTCCTGATTTCCATGTCAGAAATGGCAGTAAAGACTAGACTTCAAGTATATATTAAGTATTTTTTATTAGCATATTATACTTGTACCAGGGATACATGGTGACATTTACAAAAGTGTTTACAGTATATCGTAGTTTGATTCACCCCCTCCATCTTTTTCCTTTATCCTTCCTTCCCGCTTTCTTAAAACAGTTTCAACAGGTTTCATCATTCTTTCTTCATACATGTGTACATATACTTCCACCATATTCGCCCTCCTTCACCCCTTCCTTATGTCCTCCCTACTCCCACTGGTACCAACCCCCAGACAGGACTTGTCTTATTTTCTGTCCTCCATTTTTTTTTTTTTAAAAGACATTAAAGACGGCCATCCGAGAGGGAAATACATTCAGTAAAACAGATCCCAAACCTGAAGACCACCAGGTGGCACAGGAGAGCTTAGATGTTTCCAGAGAAAGTGCGCTCACAAATATGGAGTAGTGAAAAGGCATGCAGAGTTCTGTACCTCTTTACCATGTACACTTAGTGATTGTGAATAATGTTTAATTTCAGTCCTTTGCACTTTGACTTGAAGCTTAGGATACTGTACATTTATGTACATAGCTTATAGCCTAAAGAACTTAATTGCCTTTTTTGGGTATGTAAGGGTTTTTTGTTTTACCTTTTATTTAGAGTGTTATTCTATATTAATGATACAAAATATTAAATGATACATTTTTTGAGTGTTAAAAGGTGTCAGAAGTAGTGGGCCAGTTAATCCCAATTGAAGCATAGGCCTGAGATGGATGCCTCACTGTTAGAAATGTGTATGAGAAAGAAAGTATGTGTGTGTGTGTACAAATACATTTTAATTTTGACAAGTTTCTGGACTAAGAAATTGAGAACTATTCAGTTATTAGAACCTGAGATTGTCCACATTTTACAAATTTCTCTATTTTGTAGTAATGGGAACAAATTTAGCTACTGACATTAATAAATTATAAAGAACTGGCATTTGCTGAAATGCTAAGATATATTCTATCATTTTTACCATAATCTCTTAGAAATGAATTTTGCCATTAGTGATGATCACCATCATTTAGGGAAAACCTTCTTAAAAATAATTACTTGTCCCTTCTTTTCTTTCTTGCTTATTTAAGTTTGGTCTCTCCTGTAGTTTTAAACTTAGTAAACTATTTCAGATTTCTTTTAGAGATTTGCACTTTGATTTGAATGAGTGTGCTGAACAATGAGGAATTCAGAAAGAGCATGTAAACTCTGATAACTGTCTTCTTTATAGATGAGGCAGTTGGAGCCCAGTCACTACGGTCTTCAGCTTCGAAAAGCGGTAGATGAAAGCAGTGAGTGGCGGGTCCCTGCACTGTATGAGTACATGCAAGAGCAGGCAAGTGGGGACAGTGGGGCGTCTGAAGCAGATCTGTGGCCTTTTCATATTGAAAATGTGTTTTAGGGGAAAACTTTAAATTCGTCATCTGATTTAGAAGCAGATCTCTTCTAAAGGATATCTTGTTAGTGTTTTTCTTGTTTGACACTTGGAAAAAAGTGTCAAAATAATTCGCTAATATATCATAAGACCAAATCCTCTGATTTTGTGGTTTTTGCTTTCGCAGGTATATGATGAAATAGAAGTCTTTCCACTCAGTGTTTATGATGTGCAGCTCACGAAGACTGGGAGTGTGTCTGACTTCGGTGAGTGGAAGTACACCCTAACCAGAGAATCATGTTGTTCATTCTTGCCAATTCACTGAGTAGCTTTGAACCTAACTTTTTTTCTTTATGAAAAATATATTTCATATTATATATTTCAGACTATGACAATAGCTTCTGAACCTCTTTCCTCTCTTTTCTTTACTAATGAATTGCATTAGCAGGCTAAAAAGATGTTTATCAGTATTGGAGGTAAAGGTAAAGAAAAGAAAAGGAATAAATATAAAATTTGATGGGAAATGAAAATTATATGATAGATAGTAGTAAGAACACAATGAATTGGCTATGTAGCAGGTGCTGCTCTAAGCAGGTTAACTCTTGATTCAGATGAGAGTTCCTGTCATTGCTAGTGTTTTTCTTCTCAGATATTTTTCATCCACTTGGAAGGCTATTCTTCCTCCTTTCTCCTCCCGCTCCCTCCTCTAGGATGTTGGAAATCTTATCTGTCCATCCAGAACTAACTAAAGATCTAACTTCTTTGAAGAAGTCTTTTCTGTTTGCTTTGTCTCTCTCTTCTCTAAGTTTAACGATTTAGGATCATCATTAGCATTTAATTATTGCATTTCTCTTGATCTGTATTTAAACTTGGCTCTAAGGTCTTTGTAGACTATGTTTATACATTAAAGTTCATTTCTACATTTTACTGTCTTTCACCATGGGAAATCAATGGTTAGATAGTGACAGTCAATATTTCCTTAAAAAGACTTTCTTATCTTGTTAAAAACTGCTACAACATAGTTATTTTCCCTTAAAATACTTCAAGTTAATAATATATTAAAATTATGTTTTTCTTTTGATTTTCTCCTTATATCTTTCTTTTCGTTTTTACTTTTTTCATGATGGGGTCTTTGCCCAGGCTAACCTGGAACTTGAGCCCCTCTTACCTCAGCCTCCTGCCTACTGAGATTACAGGCCTGTACTCCTTTTGTTTCTTAATTATATGATTGGTTTTGACCCAAATGTTGGCTGGTTTTCTTTTGAGACCCTCTTCAGGTTTTGTATATTTCTACTGGCCTTTGCTCTGCTTTCCCTGGCTGCCATCTGTATATCTTCCTCGTATTTGAATGAATGAAGACACTTGCAAACATTCTTTCTGATGACCATCTGCTGGGTCTTCCTGGGGCACAGACAAGACCTAGGTTAACAGGACCTTCTTTTGTCCTCAAAGAATTCCCAGTAGAATGGGACTCAAACATGGAAGCATGTGCTTCCGACTGTGGCACCTGAGACAGGGTGCCTGGATTAGGTTCACATCCAGGTTCATCCATCCCCATCGTCTATCTCCAGACTCCTTTCATCTTATAGAACTGAAGTGCTGCACCCACTGAGCACTAACTCTCTGTGCTCCTTCTTCCCCCAGCCAGTGACAGCCACATTTTTTTTTTATCTCTATGAATCTGATAACTCTAGGTACCTCATATAAGTGGAGTCATGCAGTATTTGTCTTTTTGTGGGTGGCTGATTTCACTTAGCAGTCATGGCCTCAAGTTTCATCCATGTTGTAGCATATGTCAGAATTTTCTTCCTTTTTAAGGCAGAGTAACGTTCCATTGCACATGCTTACCACATGTTGCTTATCCTTTCTTTCCCCATTTGACAACTGGCTTGTTCCCACTTGCTGGCTGATATGAGTAACGCTGCTATGAGAATCGGTACATGGTGACAACTTTTGAATCAAGTGTGTGCTGATTTCTTAAACCTTCCAGTCTGACATGTTCCTCTTTTTCCACCTTTGCTAGATGTTTGTGTTTTCAAAGCAGTTGTAATTTAGACTTTCTGAACATACTGTATTTGTGAGAGTAGATGTTCAAGGAAATACTGCTAACTGGGGAAATGAATGGGTGAGGTGAGTTCAGACTTATTTTTTCTCTTCTTTTCACTCCTAGGGTTTGCAGTCACTGCTCAGGTGGATGAGCATCAGCATCTCAGCCGGATATTTATCAGTGATGTTCTCCCTGACGGTGTGGCATATGGGGGAGGTCTGTGTGGCCCTGGCTTTGTTTTCTCTTAATCTCAAACTGTGGAATGCATTCCACTTAGTGAAATTTTCTTCTTACAGCTTTGTCAGAAAATGGCTTCTGTTGGAATTTTAAAGAAAGTAGAGAGTTAAAAATGCTAATAGAGAGACAGCATTTGTGTGTGTACATGTGTTTCAAAAGAGAGTGTATATATACATATGTCCAAATGGAGGGAAGGAGGGTGAGAGACAGACACAGATAAAACAAATGTTATTTCCTGGTACGCTTAATCATCACAACACTAGAATAATCAATGAGTGACTCCTTAAATTGTTCCTATTCAAACTACTCTTTCTAACACTAACTTGGAGAATACTAACACATTTTGCTGTCAGAGGCATCTACTGTACATGATGAAACAGACCCTACGACGTACATGGTTTGAGTTTTCAGTCTTGTTTCGTCTTAAAATATTTCTCTCAGTCATCTCGCTCACTTTTTTCTTCCTGTTTCCCCTTCCTTGTTCTCAGGGTTGAGAAAGGGCAATGAAATCATGACCTTAAATGGAGAATCCGTGTCTGATCTTGACCTTAAGCAGATGGAGGCCCTGTTTTCTGAGAAGAGTGTTGGGCTTACCCTGATTGCCAGGCCTCTGGACACAAAAGCAACCCTGTGCACTTCCTGGTCAGACAGTGATCTGTTCTCCAGGGACCAGAAAGGATTGCTGCCTTCTCCCAACCAGTCCCAACTGCTGGAGGAATTCCTGGATAACTTCAAAAAGAACCCAGCAAACGGTAAGGCTGTGTTCCACCTCCGTTCCCAACTGCTGGGATCAGGGGCCAATGTTCTTAGGCTACAGTTTTGCTTGCAAACTCCGATTCCATGAGTTGTTCAAAGACAGCTTCCTCATTTCTCAGAAGAATACAGATGACAGTGAAATAGATTGTATCAGGATTCCATTCATTTTAGTAATTACAGTGCTTTTTTGAAAATGGAAGATAATTAATTATGTATTTGCTCAAAACATTCTTTAAAACTGCAGACTCCTTAAAAGTCCCCCACAGTATTTAGTACTGCAGTTGCTTGTGGTTGAGGGCAGAAGTGCCAGTATGGAAGGCTGCTTCTTACTCGGTTGACTCAGGCACAACTGCTTTCCAGAGGTCCCTTGGCTCTGAAGCAGCTGAGGCAGCGTGGTTCTTCCCCTTTGTCAGTAAGCGGCAAACTTTTAATGTAGACCATGAATCTCAACTTTTTGGGAAGGCCTAAAACTGCAAAATGATGTGCAGGGCATTTTGCTCAGGGTAAGATTTCTCCATGAGGAAAGTATTTGAAGGCTTGAGTTTCTGAGATTTCCCTTCACGCCTACATCCCATGTTGCAGTCTAGTAAACTAGAGGCTCCAGCTGACATCAAATACTGAACTTCTGTCTATAGCCTGGAGGACACTGGCAAAGCACTGTTAGGAGCCTGAGTGCAGGGTCTCTATCCTGGGCACTTACAGAGCCATTTTGATACTTCACCACAGCGATAATGGATTTCCACTGGAATTCTCTACATGATTACCAAAAAATGAATGAAAAACACAAAAGAGAGGTTGTTAGGATGGACTTAATTATGAAACAAGTTCATTAGGTCATTTTAGGAATTAAAAAGTCCAATAGTAAGATTTGTGATTCAATAAGGTATCTAATGCTTTCTTTTCCTCTCCTAGGGCTCCTCTTCAATTTAAAATACCATTAAATTGCCTATTGGCCTATAAAAGCAAGCATCATAAAACAAAATTATGATGGAACTAATTAACTACTTGGTTGTGTTTGGGCCATGATTTGGCTACCCTGGGCTGCTGTTATAAGCCCAAATGTTCCATAAATATGTGCATGTGTCCATTTGTGTGGTTCATTACTCTCTGTGGGGGGGGGGCACATTCACTACTTGAGTTCTACCTCTAAGCGTTTTTTCACAATAAGAAATCACCGCCGAGTCTGTAATACTTTTGACTCTTTCAGGAATGAATTTCTGTAGAAAGCAGCAAAAGGGGCAAATTTACCTTTTTTTAATAGTAAGGATCAAGCAGGTGAGTTGTTTGTTTAGCACTTTTTGAAAGGAAACAGAATGGGTTTGTTAGGTCACTAGTCTGTTAGTTCTTTTAGGTAGCCACTGTGACTATCTGAACTTTGATAACTTACCTAAGGCATCTGACATCACCTGAGCAAGTGAAGTGGTGGGAGGGCTTGGGCACAGCTGGTCTTGCTGCTGACCTGAGGCATGGGTGCAGCACAGGTGTCTGTAGGTGCCTTCCCTGGATGAGGTTTCCCCATGAACCATGCGAGAGTCACTGGCCCCTTCCTGGTTTCCTGGGGTGACATTCTCCCTGGCAGCTAGTGTACCACCCCTTCTGTCCAAGGCTTTACTGTTCATCTTCTTGCCTGAGATCCAGGTCACTGTTCCATGATAATGTGCTTGCATTGGAAACACAAAAGCCACAAGGAACTACTTCTCCCCATGCTTTACAGATGTGGATTTCCTTTTTCTTTTTGAGGTAGTTGCATTGCTTGTGAAGGAAGTTAAATGTCTCAGAAGGAAGTCTGTCCATTTTTAATGTTGCTGGGCAGGGGTAAAATCTGGGGTGGATAGGTAAGACATCAAAAGAGAAAAGAAAGGCTGAGTGTCATGTGCCTATACCATCTTGCTTACGAGAGAACCCTGCAGTTATTGAAACTCTGAGAGGTACCATGGGGACAAGCATGCAGGCTCTAGGTCTTGGGTTGTGTCTGTAGAGGCATTCCACAGCCAGCGGGGTTGGATGTTGGATGGTGCTACCTCTCATCCTTATCCTTCAGGAGAAATTCCAAGGTAGAGCCCCCACTGTTTTTCAGAGGCCCCTGGAATTGAGCCCCAGTTGCACACAGCAGTCTTTTCTACCTCTCTCTTAGGCCCTCTGCCTTCTTATATTTCTTCCCTACCCTCAGGATCACCTTCCAAATAAGCTTCTATGCCCAAGCCTTGGCTCTGACTCTGCCTTTGTGGGAGCTGTGTGAAGACCCCAGGCCTCACCTTCCTTTCTCCCCTACCCAGGGGCTGCTGTGAGGTAAGGGAGGTCAGTGTGTGAGGTGTGCAGCCCCTGTGTGTCTGGAATTCTCTCTTCCCTTTCACTTGCAGCGTAGTGAAACAAAATTACTTTAATTTGCAATCCTGTTTTCTTACTAAAATTGTTAAAATTTCCACAAATAAAAATTTAAACAACTTTGAAAAACTTTGTTTTTTAAGTCCAGTGATTTTATTTTTGGTTTATATATTTTTTGCAGTACTAGGGTTTGAGCTCAGGGCCTCATGCTTGCTAGGCAGGTGCTCTACTACTTGAGCCATACCCTAACCCCCTGAAAAACAATTTTAAATACAGCTTTGGATTTTTCTTAGCAGTGGTCATTTTCATTATCCTAAATTACCCAGTATTACTAGAAGGTGATCATGTATTTGAAAAGGAGGAAGGTCCTATTTCCTTCCTCCTGTTCTCTACCTGTTAGTGGATATCTGGAAGAGCACATCTGCTTTTTAAAATAGAAACTATAGGAATCTCAGAAGGTGAAGAAAGAAGAAAGCCTGCAGCAGCTGTCCAGGGCATGTTTTGACCATCCCTATGGGATGCATACTGAGCCCTCCCTGTGAGCTGTTAACACGTGTGAGGCCTGGGAACAAGCCACGCAAGGCTCAGCTCTGGGTCTGCTTTTGGTTTGGTCTGATATCCAGAAATCGACATTGGTTAGTGTTAGTCTCTTGATTAGACTGAGTAAAAAAAAATCTGTTTCTGTCTCTGAATGAAGAGAGTGTAATTCACAGTGGTAGGTCCCAAGGGCTTGGGTAAATGGTTACTGTTCTGGCTCTAGGATTTTCTAGAAAAGAAGCATGCTACTGTTAGTTGAGGTTTCTTGATTTATGTAATGTATAGTGAAATGGGTCTCAAACTTCAGAGTGCTGAGACTTACTGTTGAGTTTAGAAAAATGCAAACTCCCAGGTCCTGCTGTGAGAAAACACCACTTTCAGGTGGTGTGGGGCAGTATGAGGCAGTGCAGGCTGTGTTTTTGCCCAGCCTAGGTGGCTGATCCCCTTGAGCAGGATAGAGTGGGCTCACTCACACTGCCCCTGGGCCATTGGTCTTCATGAACTCAGTCTGACCTGAGCCATAGGACACTGTTTGTAGAACCCTACTCTGCTAAGGTTTTGGGGACTGAGATAATATGTGTCAAGTTCTTAGTAAATAGAGCTGTTGTGCTTGGATGGTGTGTTCTCTCAGTTAGGGGCCAATGTGCCCCAAACTTCCTTTGAAGTACTCAGCAGCAGATTGACCAGTCAGCTCACCTCACTTGTTCCTCAGCCCCATCCTAATATGCACTGTTCCATGTAGCAAAGGACAACCAGAAGTGGAGAACTTCATAGGCACCCACTTTTCTCCATGACGCCTGTGGTTCTTAGAGGAGCCAGACTCAGAGGAACACGCAAGAAGTGCCTGGTGTTCAAAACTGAGTTCCTTTGCCTCCTAAGATATGAATAACATTTGATTCTTGCCTCTGAGAGTTTGAATTTCTGTTCCAGTTATCCGTAGTAGGGAGAGGAAATGTCTGGGGGCAGTATTTGATTTGAACGGAAATATCAGTATAGACTTTTTATAGAGAGAATTAATTTTACCACTGGAATTCCCCAAAGAGGCCAGTGTTATTTTAGAGCCAACAAGGCCACCATTGAAGGCATTGGGTGTACCAGAGCTGTTTATACTGGGATCCTGTCAATGCTGCTTTTGTGATTTATGTATGAAAATCCTTTTTCTGATGTTTGCTGTCCTTTGAACAATCCCATCGGTTTTTAGGTAAGTCTCATTGGGCACAGAGTTCCTGAACAAAGTCTATGTGTAAACACTGGATTCCTTGTGGTAATAATTCCTTCTCCACCTATAAACAGCTGTTAATGGTGCCATGTTAAGACAGCAGGTATATTTAGCAGGAGACAAAATAGAGGAAACCTATGTCCTACTTCCCCTTAGTACAAATCAGCCAGTGCTTGCCCATAGGTGAAGGTAACTGTGGCCTGAGGGGCTTTTTGAGCCCCACACTCCCTTCTGAATCACTCTTTGTGAGATGATGTCTGAGTGCTATAGACTCTCAAGCCACTTAGATGTAAATTTGCTCTCTGGGATGAATTGCTCTTGGGAACGTACATGTCTGTTATACAGCTTTTCACCAGGGGAAAGAATTATGGAGCCAGCTCTGATGTGGCAAGCCCACTTACTTCCTGTTTGTGAGAGTGAGGGCATTTTGGCTTCCATCACTCATTTAGGATGACTAACAGTATTTAGCTGGGAGAATGCTCTGTTTGTGTGTAAAACTGCTATGACTGAGTCTGTCTGGCTGACACCCCAGATCCCCAGATGTAAAAACATATTAGTGTTCCTAAAGAAGGGTGGTACATTTTTTTCAAATTAAAAAAGATCTGATTGGGAAATACTGTTTTTACCAGGACTTGGAACGTTGGCCTCAGAATTATTAGTTCTTTATAACTGTAATGAAGTTAGTTTTCAATGCATCAGGGAAAGTGAGTTTGTGGTTTTCTGTTAGCAGTGGAGGGGATTATGATCTTCAGACACTAATTCTCTTATATAACTGTGTTTAGCCTGACAATTTGATTCACTTTTTCTCACTGTGTCTTCAACTGTTCACTCATTTGACTTTTTGCTACATACTGCAGACATATAAAGATGAATTTGACATTATTATATACTTATAGATGAATAGGAAAAATAAAA